CAATTAGGTACGAAATTGGATCCACGACGTGACCATGAAGGATTGCATTGCACATTGGATAAAAACTGCTATGAATAAGAAAGGAAAATGAATGGGACAAGGTCATTTTCTGAAAGTGGACCGGTGCTCAGTTTCTTCCTAACAACATTAGCTGTTTGATTGGTACCCTTACCTACATTAATTACAAAACCTTATTCAATCTCTTCTATCTTGTCTGTCCTCAAGTATTTATTGTCGAGTCCATTGGTCTGGCTTTTTAACTAGATAACGTGTCGTGATTTAACTGCCTATGTGACAATCAAATCTATGTGCTCGACTTTAGAAAAATTTAGGCAATGCACTCTTACCTGTCCTAGTGTAATTTGTATGCCTAGATTTAGAACAGCTTAGCTTTACTTTTATGGTTACTGTTCAATCCATGTATATTATGATAGTAATTTAAAAAATAGGTCCAAGAGTGCCTTTAGTTTATTGATTAATGATTAATTTGATGACATTTTGATAAACATATTAAGACAGACAAAAGTAAATTTTGCTTAATGATTAACGATTAATTTAATGATATTTTGATAAATATACTAAGATTAGGGATAGGCATGAGATCCGAACCTGATGATTTCTGATCCAACCCGATCGGGTCAGGTTTTTTTTAATTTCGGGTTTGGGTCGGGTCGGTTTTTTAAAGGTAATATTCAGGTCGGGTCAGATTGGGGTTTAGGGTGAAAATATCCGACCCTAAAAAATATATAATTTTACCTTATATATTTAGAAATAATTACAATAATACCCCTTTATATATATTTTTTTCAATTAAATCATTGTTTTTATTGAATAAAAATAATATTTTATTATTATTTCGTGTCGGGTCTGGTCGGGTTCGGATTTTATCTCAAAAAGTTGGGTCGAGTTCGGGTCGGATGGAGGGTATATATTTTTGGGTCGGTTCGGATCGGGTGAATGATGTAAAATTTTCGGGTCGGGTTGGCCCAAACCCGACTCATACCCATCCCTAACTAAGATAAAAATAAATTTTATTTAAATTCGTTTTTAATATAATATTTAAATTTTAATAAAAACAATTCATTTTGTTTTAAAATTCGATATTTAAAAATGAACAGAATTGTTAGCGTGACATATTTATTTTTCTTTTCAATAATGATATGATATTATATTATGATAACACATCAACATCACTGTTGACATTATCTTATGATAGTCGAGGTACTAAACGTATAGTATACCCTTTAATTTTAACAGCAAATAGTTGTTTGAAAAGTTGAGTGATGATCGAGGACCGAAGCTTGATGCGTTGCAAGATTGGGCAGGAAAACCCTCGTGGCTTGGAAAGCAAGCACATCACCTCCCTTATAAACACACCCTCACATGACTTGACTCTCTCCTTTCCACATTAGCTTTTTTGGTGCACATGCAAGGCGTTTACTAAAGTGAAGGTAGACTGAAGTTGATGATGGCAGTAAAATAATATAATTCTTTATTATATTATGAGTGTCGGATTTATACATTCGAATAAAAAAATAAAACCCGATTATATTTTTTTAAAAGAAGGAAATTGATGAAAATATAAAAGAACAAAAAGAGAAAAGGACTTTTAATGTCTAAAATGAACAGATAGAATCTTTATTTTATAAGAAAAACAAAGGGATTAATATGTAAATAAAATAAAATTAATTATCATAAAAATCCCAATCACTTGTCAAATATTCTTATAAATAAAGAAAATTGGGATATACCCTGAATAACTATTTAATTAAATTTATTTATAATTTAAAAAACTCGAATAATTACGGAGTGGTACTTGGATAATTTCACCTAAGAAACAAAAATGTTATATTGTAAGCCATACCGAACTTGCCGGTTCCCATCGTCTATCAACACCCAAATTCGTGTGCATGTGATGCGGATGGTTGAGTAAGAGTGGGCAAAAAGCAAAGGGCTAACCCCCCCCCCCCTTGTTTTCTTCGTCTATAAAAAGAAACCAAAGAAAGAAATGAAAAACCCATCAGAAAAGCCTCTATATTCTTAGTGCAGGTGGAGAGCTCCAAAGGGATCGCATTGATCTAATGTTGATGGCTTCGTCTGAATAAATGAATCGATTATTATAGTTTGTTGATTCGGTTCAGTCATTGGATCATGCGATCCCTTCGGAATTTTCCATCGGTAGCTCTAAATCCATATCATTCCTAAGGTACGTAATACCTCTGCCGGATATATCAGCTTTCACGGCATGAAAATGACATCGTCGTGGAACAAAACATCATTAGTGTACCGTCCGACAACCATCGGAGTTTTTCCTCTTCCATGGCCCTGTGATTGTCGAATTGTGGTGTTTCTGGTTTGTTTTTATTTGTATACTGTAGAAATGGCATCGTATAGTATAACATTTCTCGTGTTTCATGACACTGCTCTAAGAAATCAGAGCTTAGCTCGAGCTCGACCAAGTTTTACTTTTAAAGTTTGTGTTTGATTTGAGATAAAAAAAATATTTGGTTTAGGCCTGTATCATCGGGTTTGGACCACATTTCTTCGGTTCCATAGGTAGCTGTTTGCAACCAACATTCTCTGCAGGTCCGGAATCAGCTGTAAGTGACATTTTTAGATTTGGAACAAAATTTTGACTTTTCTTTTAATTTGATTTTATGTAAAACTAACATTTATATACATATAAAATTTGTAATAAAAAAGGTTGGGATGACCCATCACCCATCCAATTCTCTCCTTATCTAGATATTTTGTATCACTTTTCAAAAATATTTTAAAATTAAATGCAATTTTGATAGTTTTAATATAATTAAAAATATTTTTAAAAGATAAAAGATAAAATTTTATTTTTCTAAAAAAAGTGTTTTTGAACAAAACTATTTTATGTTCTTAATTATTTTAGATATTTAAACTTAAAACTTCAAGTCTAACTGAATATTAATTTAGTTTGAATCTTTTAGAAATTACGGATTTTAATATATTTAAGGATAAATTATACTTAAGTTCACTTAATAGTAGATTTTTATTTGGTAATAAATAGACTATTTTTGTTAAAAGAAATTACAAAGAAGTCATTCAATTAGAATATTAAAATAAGTATGTCACTCCATTATTAAATATTAGATGAAATAGTGATGTAACTTGATATAACAACAAGAACCGTCCTTAAAATCTATGCAGTTTATCAATTTGATCCTAATTTGAAAAAAATTAATAAAATTTTAATTTTAATAGTAATATTTAAAAATTTCATCATTTTAGTATTTTAACTATTTCGTTCCTTTTATATTTTTTATATAATAACATTTTTAACATTAACTAGTTGATGTTTTATGGTAAAATGCACTTATTAAACTAATATTTTGATCCAATTAACTAATTTAATTTGACCATGTTATAAAAAAGACTAAATTCATTAATATGAACAATGATGGGTTAAAATTATGGAATTGTTTTGTACTATAGTAAAATTGATAGACAATATGAGTTTCAGAAATCGAAAATGTTATTATATCAAGTCACATTAGATGTTCATCTCAATTTTAACGACAGAACAACATTTGTAATAATATTTTTAATAAAATATTTATATTTTAAATAAAATATTTATATTTTAAAAAATGACATTTATCACAAAATCATAATTAAATAAAACGATCGTAGGTGTAGTTTATTCTATATTTAAACATAATTATTTTTTTATCAAAGGGTTTAGACAGAATAAAGATGGTTTAAGTATTATTATCAAAACTTTGAAGTTATAGGGCCTCCCCTTGACCCAATAAGTTGGTTTCAATTCAATTACTATTTAGCTCTATTTTCAGCCCAAGTAATAGAAGGAACACCTCGAAAAATTAAAATTAAAATTAAAATTAACTGACCCTATTCTCATATGTAATGGAGTGAGGGGGAGGTAGAATAGTAGGTTGCCCCCAACGCCAGGTTGAGAGCAGCTTCCGTGGAAGACCTATGGCAGTCAGAATTATGAATTGCCTACCGTGGGACTCGATCCCACAATAACATAATAAATCTATTGTTAAAAAATCATTTGAAAAACAATAATATCATGGACACCTCAAATCTATTGGTATTATTTTTTTAACGATATGAGATGATTATAATATAATATATATTCATAATTTTTTTAAACTATTGATAACATATATATATCTTACAAATCCTACTCAAACCCAAAATCACTAAGGAAAACAACACTCTTTGTGTCATTGTCCACTCAATGGGTTATATTGTTATTCTTGTTAGTCTAATATAAGTAATATCTCTAAATTGGATTGAAAGGGTCGTCCCATAATAAGGTTTAACAAAATTTAATCCAAAATAATTGATTAATAAATCAGATATTAGTGGTTAAATAATAATAATAATATATTATTTCCAAAAGTTTAGGACCTAACTTTTGTTAATGCATGTTTTGATCAAAAATTAAATGAGAAATCGGACGTAAAGTTTAGGGAGGCAAGTAAAGTTTTTTTAATAGTTTGGATTATTATAAAATAATATTTATTTAAATTTTTTTAAATCAATTAATAATATATATCATATGAACGTAACTGTTTAAAGTTAAAATTTCTAAAAAATAATACCTACTTTTATCATTATAATTATTTAATGTTTGAATTACTAGATACGCCGAATTTATTAGCGGTCAGGTTGAAAAATTGGATAGTGGATGTTTTCCAACTTTGACCCTATGGGAAAAATTTTGGCCGCGGTTTTAAGTAGGGACTCGCATGGGACTCGGATTTTCGGATTCGATCTGGTCGGATTTTTTTAGAGATTGTATTTTAGTTGAGTTTGAATTTAGGGTGAAAAATACTCGACTCGATAAAAATATATAATTTTACTTTTATATTTAGGGATAATTTCAATAATGTCTCTCTCTATATTATTATTTTTAATTAAATCCATATTTTATTGAATAAAAATATTTTTTTAATAAATATATTATTTTGGGTCGGATCGAATTCGGGTGGAGAATATATAATTTTCAGGTAGAATTAGGTTGACCGAAAACCCGACCCGACCTAAGTCAATCCCTAGTTTTAAGATCTTCGGCACTGATCACGGCACAATTGAATCCATAGACCCCACTATCGTAGTCTTCCCGCTCCTTTTCGCGTCTCACGGTCCCAATGTTAGCATTATTATTACAAGTAGAAGAGGAATTTTAAGGGAAGAAAAGAGAATATTTTTAGTGAGTTTAGGATTTAAGAGAATACGAAAAAAAATAAAAATAAGTAATTTTAGCGATCTTCTACTTGTTTTTGCATTGTTCGCCTTCAATTTGCAAGCCACCCTAGGTTTATTTTCATGATCATTTCTTGCTCCCTAATTACTTTAAAACCGGCCTTGTTTTATGATTTGTAACTTTTTTTTTTTGCAGGGGAAATAACATGTGAACACCTTGACCAAGACACCTGCGCCTACGCGGTGGCATCAACAGGCAAGCGTTGTGTGCTGGAGAAGCACGTCAAGAGGAGCGGAAAAGAAGAATACACTTGCCGCACATCCGAAATCGAAGCCAATAAGATCAGGAATTGGATCGAAACTGACCAGTGTGTTAAAGCCTAAGGCATCGACGGGAACTCCTTCGGCATCTCGCCCGATTTGCTCCTCAAGTCTCGCTTCACTGAAATGCTTTGTGCCCTTCAATGCTACAACGGCTGCCCCAACATTGTCGACCTTTTCTTCAACCTCGACCTTTTCTTCAACCTCACCGCCGGAGAAGTTAGAAAATATTAGAGTTAATTGTACCAAACATCCTGACCAATTTTATTTAACTCTTTGTGATCTTGGCAGGTGTTTTTCTTCCGAAACTATGCGAAGCACGGCAAGGGAATGTGTGTAGAGGAATGTCGGAGATCAAAGGCTCGGGCTTGGTTGCACCGGGACCCGTTGGAGGCGCGAAGTCTATAGGACTTCCCCCGGCAATGGCGCCACTCTAAAATCTTGATTGAATGGAAACTTTCACAAAGCTTTACAAGAAGTTTGAAACAAAAGGAAAGTTGCACTAGCTAGGGGTGATTTCTCAAGCCGGGTTCAAGTGCATGGACAGGTGTGATCTGATTCGTGCATGTTGTGAGCCATGAGCTTGTTGTGTTCAATCCAATAAGATGCTACTTTCTATATAGTCTTGCTTATTGAAATAGGTGTGAACAAAATTATGAAGTTTATAAATATACTTGCATAACTATCAATTTCCGATTCGTGCATGTTGTGAGCCATGAATTTGTTGTTTCATTCTAAAAATATTTTTTCGATCCATTTCTTCTTTTTTTCCTAATAAAAACAATATCAATTAGGTTCTACATTCTTCATTCGATAATATAAAAATAAAATTATGTTAATCGTAAGAGAGACATCTATTATATGACTATATTTACCAATACTCAGATTTGACTTATACTAGAATAAATTTGGACTGGGTCTACATATATAATGGACTTAAATGAAAATAAAATCTAGGTTGAGAATCGGTGCATAATGAAACCCGAACTTTATTGTTCGAATGAAATATAAGAAGCTCGAGAAAATTTGAACTAAAAATAGGCAACAAGAAAATTTGGGCATAGAAGAAGGGCCATTGAAGCTTTTAAGTAGATGTGTCTACCCCTTTATTTTCGCCCAGAAAGTTCTCTTCACCATCACATTTGTCTCGCCTGCCAACAATTGATCCCCTGAGTTAAGGATCTCTTACTAATATCCTACCCAATACTACAATTCTCTCTTTCATTCTTCTCACTCTTCATTTCTCACAAAGGCTTCTTTCTCTTCGGACGACAAAATGGTGAGGTCTCTTTTCTAACTTTCTCGTATTTGGATGATCATCGTAATATGTAATGAATTTATATTTGTTGTATACATTCGTCGACGTACGTGTCAAATTAGATGCGTCGGTTGATTAATGTGTATATTGTTGTTTTTGGTTTCATGTGTATGTGTGGGGACTAAAATGTGGAATAGGCGAACGCGGCATCCGGGATGGCCGTCGACGATGAATGCAAGCTAAAATTCTTGGAGCTAAAGGCGAAGAGGAACTACCGCTACATCATATTCAAGATTCACGAGCAACAAGTGGTGGTGGATAAAGCCGGGAACCCTACATCGACTTACGAGGAGTTCACCGCATCTCTTCCTTCCGACGAGTGCCGCTACGCCGTCTTTGATTTCGATTTCACCACCGACGAGAATTGCCAGAAAAGCAAGATCTTCTTCATTGCATGGTAACCCCACTTTTCTCTTTTAAAAGGAAATCTTCTGGGCCATTCATTCAACACTGGTTGTAGGTCACCTGATACATCAAGGGTGAGAAGCAAGATGGTGTACGCTAGTTCCAAGGACAGATTCAAGAGGGAATTGGATGGCATTCAAGTCGAGTTGCAGGCCACGGATCCCAGCGAAATGAGCTTCGACATTATTAAAGGCCGAGCAATTTAAACGCTGTTACTACTCTCCAGAAGCATTAATCCATCACCCTGTCTCCAGCGTTACCGTTCCTCAGTATCGCTTATTTGTGCGTGCATGTGTGTTTTTCTTGCATAAAAGAATTCACTTTCTGGTTTCTGCTGTGTGGTTTTGTGTTTTGTTTAACACTCACTATGTAGGTTTAATGTAACTCTTAATTATCTTTACTTTATGATAAATATATTCTTTAAGTGTAAGTGTTCAAATCTTTTTAAAATTTCGGTTGTTTTGAGTTTTCATAAGTTCGGATTTGAAAATTCTTAGGTTTATGTGTATTTAGATTTAAATTTAAATTAATCAATTATTTTAAATTAGAATTAATTGAATCAAACATTGTTTTGAGTTCTTTAGATAGGATGGTGTTGCCACGTTCGACGAGAACAGATGAGTGCGGTTAATGAGGAGCATCATTAAATTAATTTAAAAACCGTTAAATTATAAAATATTAAACGTATAATTTTAATTAGCTAAAAATCTAAATGTAATTTAATTAAAATTCAATATTTATATAACATTAGTTTTTAGGATAAATTGTACCATTGACCACTTAACTATTTACCCATTTTACTTTAACATCGACTTTTCAATTTTGTCAATCGAGTCACCCAACTATTTAAATCTTGTCAATCAAGCCACCTGCAATTAAATATTAACAGAGGAGATGACGTGACAGTTAATAAAATTTGTATAATTACACATTTAGTCCTCATTACTTACACATTCTATTAATTTGGTCCAAACTTTTATTTAATTCAATAAATTTAATAATCAATCTGATAGTGACATGTGTCATTGTGTGATTGGATGTTATTTTAATATTTTTTATTTAATAAATTTTTCATCCAATCAAATGGTGCCATGTGCCACTAATTAAATGAATGAAAAATAAATTAAATCAATAACCGCTGGTGGGGTTTGAACCTAGAACGCAAGCCGAAAAACTAAATGCACTAAGCTAGACCACTAAATTTGTCTAGTATGCAGAACATAATTTATATAATTTATAATATAGTTAATGGTAATAAATGACCTTATAAGGGCTCAAACATGACATAATTGAAGAGCATGAAAATATAAAATTTATATAAACAAATATTATAATTGATTAACAAATGAAAATGTTTTATTTATATTTTGAATCTCATTTAATGCAAAAATTAAAATAAAAGTGAATTTAATATGTTATAATTGAAATGTATCATTTTACATATTTTAAATTATTAAATTGTCTTAATTATTCTAATTTTATTGAACTAAAATGGATCATATCTTATATTTTAAAATATTATAACGTCGATTGAATTCTAATCTTATTTAAAAACTCTATATTAAAATAAACTAATTCAATAAAATCAAATTTCCCAAAAATTTTATTCAAATATATAATGAATAAACAATAAAGTATAAAATTTTTACTCTAATCGAGATATAAACAAGTCAATGAATAAGTTAAAATGCTTACTACGATAAGCCCTCAACTATCAGGAAAATTCTAAGTTAACACGCTCTTCGTTATATTTCAATTATAATTTATTAAACTTATTTTTATTTTTATTTTTATTAAAATGATTTAAAATATAAATAAAATACATTCACATATTAATCATTTATAATATTTGTGTATATATATATATATATATATATATCATATTATCGTATTATTCAATTATTCCAGGTTGGAGTTCTTATTAAGTCATTTGCACTTTTTTCATTGCCATTAACTATATATATTATGTCGTGATAGGTTTGTCATTTGAATGGTGTAGCCCAATGGTTGGGGTGTTTGCTTCCTTTCTTCACATCTTGGATTCAAACATCATCAACAGCAATTATCGATTCAATTTATTTTTTATTCATTCAATTGGTGACACATGACAACATTTGATTGGATGAAAAAACATCCAATCACTCAGTGACACATGTCACAATCTGATTGATGATTAAATTTATTTAATTAATTAAAAGTTAGAATCAAATTAATAGAATGTGCAAGTAATGAGGACTAAATATGTAATTATACAAATTTTATTAACTGCACGTCATCTCCTCCGTTAATATTTAACGACAGGTGGCTTGATTGACAAGATTTAAATAGTTAGGTGACCCGATTGATAAAATTGAAATTCAATAGTTAAAGTAAAATAGATAAATAATTAGGTGGTCAGTAGTATAATTTATCCTAAAAACTAATGTTTTATAGATATTATATTTTAATTAAATTACATTTAGATTTTTAACTAATTTACCATTATACATTTAATACTTTATAATTTAAAAGTGTTCATCGTTAACGGTGTCCATTCATTCTCGAATTATAGAATTTTTCTTAATAGATATTCATAGATATCTCGGTGTTTTCTTGGTCATATAATTACAACCAGAAAATCTTATTACACATTTGTCTTATTGGCATTGTTTTTCTGCTACGATTAGTACAAAAGGGCCACCGTACATAAGTAAAACAAAAAGGGTAAGATACATCAGAGATTCTTAAATTATTGTCAACTGATTTTTGGTTATTTAACTTTAAAAAATTATGAAATAATCATTAAATTTATCAAACTGTTACAAAATGGTAACCTTAACATTTTTATGATCATAAAGATCAATAATTTTAATGACCATTTTGTGACAGTTTGATAAATTTAATAATTATTTTTTGTAATTTTTGAAAGTTCAATGACGAGATTATTTGAGCATAGTTTAGGGACCTATAATGTACTTCACCCAAAAAAAGACTCTTGCTTTTGATACAACAATAATTGCTCCTGTAAACAACATATGAAGCAATTTCTAAATTCGATGGAGAGTGCTTACCTTAGGTGTTCATAGAATTTCTTCTCCCATTCGTCTACTTGCTTTATGGACTTCTCCTTTTCAGTAAGCAGAGCATGAATCGATGCTGGATCGTAGGGTGGAGGCATTGTGCATGGGCTCGTGACCGAGGGACCCTTCACCATCGATTCTATCATGTAGTCCTTCTTTCTTCCGTTGGCCGGACAAGCCATCGATTCCGAGCAGAATTCGACGGCTTTTACGGGCACGGTGGGCTTGTATCTCATCAGTTTACCGTACTCGTTTAGGAGATGAAACATGTAATCATACACGTAGTCTATCTTTAGATCCTCTTTTATGAACTCGCTTGCTGCTTTTCCCATAGCCTTTGCCTGAACAAAACAATGGAATGGAAAATCTAAATTGGTAAATTGGTCCCTTTAAATATTAATTGTCTGAGCAATTAAGGACAATTAATCACTGCATTGATGTTTTCTTCCAATTTATATAATTTTAATTGACATAATAATAAATTTAACCCTCAACATTTATACATTACATCGATTTGGTCTTAATCCTAAAAAAAATTAGCCCTCCACAATTATAAAATGTGTAAATTTTAAGTTGATTTTTTAAAATTAGAATCAAATTGACATAGTATGTTAATATTAAGAGATAAATTTATAGTTATTTCAATCAAAATGAAGTGAAACTGATAAAAAAACATTAAAGCTTTGATTAATCTAATTCTAATACTTTAAGAACTCAATCATAAGTTTGAGAACAAGTTAGAATCTTAGCATAAACTTGGGGATGTCTAGAGATATTAACCCTATTAATAAAGAAGACTTCTTACCTCTTCCGGATGGGTGTTGCCCCAGTCAACAGCATACTTAATAGATCTGCACTTATCATCAGACTTAATGGGCCAATAATGGTGCAATGGCTTCAAACCCCTGGTGAAGAAATCAAAGTATCGGGGTTTTACGAGTAAGGTCGGAGAGTCACAGGCCAGTATGTACTTCTCACTTACCGACCATGCCGATCCTTCCACGTATATCTTAAACCTATGATAATTGTACATTCAGAACAAAGAAAATAAACATAAATTTATAGTTTAAATACCCTTTAAATATTTATTTTTATGAGAAAAAAAAAGTGAAGGGACTTGATCATTTAACCTGTGTATACATTGGTCTGCCAAGTTTGATGTTTTGTAGCCATGTCTTGATACCATTCCCCAGTCCTACAAATGCCTTGTTAGTTGGATACGTACAGACTAGATATGAAGAAATTGGATTAGAAGTTTAGGGTTTAGGATTTACCTGGGCATAGACGCGAGCACCCCAATCCTGTGTGTCCGAGACGTTGCATTTGAGGAGATCTTGCCTGGTTTCCGCAACCGCGGGATTCCCTTTCCAGAAAGCATGTGGTTCCCTTTCGTCCCATTTCGTTCTCTGGTTGCCTTCCATTAGGTCATTTAACAATGGCACCCACGACTTTATGCGAATCTCAGGCCTGGTTCAATCACATAATTTTGAATGCCACATCGTATATTATATCTAATACATATGCCAAATTCCATAAAATTTCCTTATACTATGTGTTTATAGTAGAATTTGCTTCTCCACTGTAACCTGGTCAATTACAGTCCATTATTTTTCAAAACATGTATTTCAATCTATCCTTAGATCATTTTTTAACCCCATTACATAATTTGACATAATTTATTTTAAGAACTTATGATGTGACCAAAATAAACACTTAACATAATTTATTGACTTCAGATGCACATTACCTAATATTTGTCTAACTGTATAAAAAATATAAAGTATATATATCCCATCATCAAAAGTTTAAGAATAACAACGTCAAATCAGTCCGCAGAACTAACAGAAAAAAATGTTGATGTTAGGACTAACATACATGTTTTGAGAATCAGAAGACTAAAAATGATCAAATTCTAGTAGAAAGATTAAATCCACCTAAAATGCATATTCCGGGACGTTTCATTCAATTTGACCATTAAAAAATGCTAAAAGAAAAGACGGGGGTTTAATTATTCTAACCATCCCCAGAAGGACCAGTCCGGAAAAACGATGTCGAGGGTTTCATCATCCTTGCAGTAACGAAACAGAGGAGGTGGTGGAGTGGCATTGGGTCCACCATAGTCGACAGATTTGATGACCGGCCAGTCAACGCAATCAAACATGAGGTCCAGATCTGGAATTTTCCCCGGGTACTTCCGT